ACATAGAGTATTATTTTGACAGTATGTTTTGAAGAGGGGGACATACTGGCTCTAGAAGTGGTAGGTGCTAATCACTGGGCTGACTTGGCAGCCCAGGAGACTGGCTTGCCTTGCTAACAACAGGAACTGCAGTATCTGGCACCTTGCTGGGACCAGTGGCTGCCGCCTTTGGCAGCCGCAAAGTTAGTCATGTCTGTCACCTACCTCAATGTTGGTAGATATGGTAGACTGTTTTCTGTCCATTAATGTCATTTTCCTGCCACCAGCTTTGAAATGAGTGGCTCTGTCCTCTTCCAAGTACGCATTCATTATGTTAATCTCCAGTGAAAGAGGGCTTGCTTTCAGATTCAGATGTTGGTACTTGTTTAACTGACAGTGTGTTTTAAAGTGTATATAAATATATTCTGAAATATAAAATCTGTAATAATTGAGATGTGTTAGAATGAACTGTGGAGGCCTTGAGACTTCATGGAGGAGTGGTAAAAAATATAACATAAAAAAATAACATGACTTTGTTCTATACTTATTAGTCTCTGTCGGGAAAAAATATTTTTTCCCCCAAGATGAATGTTGGCAGAAATTTGATTTTACTGAAATTGTAGGAAAAATGCAGTGGGAAATGATGGCTGTGAAGGTATTACTTTGAGAAATGAGACGCAATTTAGGTGTAAGTGGTGAGAGAAGAGAGGCAGTAATGGGGGAAAAAGGAAAAAAATCCTGTGGCAAAGGGTCCTCAGGGTATGGAATTCTCACTGAAGTGGGAGCTTCTGTAACTTTATGGAGCTGTTGCCAGTAAGGATGGCTCATCACTGAATCTGACAACCTGAGGGAATAACTTGAAAAATGAAATTGGACAAGATTGCAAATAATGTTACATAATGTGTTTCCAAAACTTGCCTCACAAAACCATGTTCCTTTCTTGCAACATGATGTTTAGCAGGCCCCTAATTCATTTCATCTGTAAAAGTTCCTGCACAGGGAAGGTGTTAAGTGTAATGCTTTGCCATCATTTAAAAATACCCCCCTGCTGTGGCTTTAAATAATGATCTCTGAGGACCGTTCTCTGAGTTCACCTCGGAAGACTAGTACAAAAGCAAGAATCCTTTTTACAATGAGCAAATGTGAAGTTGATCCCCATATTGATATCTGACAGCTAACAATTTTAATAAAACTTTAATTGTTTGAGGCTGATAGGCTGATTGAATAGTTAAAGAAGGGAGACTGTAAAGTATTAGGATTAGCAATACTAAATTCTGTGGTAAGCCTGTAGTGATCTTCATAGTTCAAGTCTGTGATTTTATTGTGTTATTGTAATTATTTTCTCACTCGAGTACTGGTTTATAAAGTTCAGATGAAATAAATTTGTATACATTTTTACAATAAGGGTTTTAGTTCACGAAACTAACTTGCCCTTGGCAGATGTGCATGGGGCAAAAGAGAAGGCCTCCCCACACTTTCTAGCTTAGACTTCTCTGGCCTTGGAATATACACTGATGCTCATGATTCAGTTTCAGAGGGAGCACACTTCTTGTTGTCTTCTAGTGTTGCAACCAGCCACCCCAGTTAACTGTCAGTCTAAATGGGCTTCCTTTGACCAATTATAATGTTTATAAAAGTTTATCTTGGCATTAAGGATATATTAATAGTGTGTTGTCTTGAAACAGGTTTGCTTGGGGAAGACAATGGAAATTCTTAGCAATAATAATAACCCTATTAATGAGTGCTTACATTCATTGAAATCATACTGGAACTTAGCATTCTATATGCTTTGTCTTTGCCTTCTCTGAAGACTGTCCAATGCAGCCTCTTTTGTGTGGTGATTGTATATCTAAAATACTCTTTGATTTGAGTGAAATATTAAATAATCTGGATTTGCTTTTTCTTTTAATATGTGAAGACATGGCTCAGTCGCTTGATTTTTTTTTTTTTTAATAGACTTTCCTTTTTAGAGCAGTTTTAGGTTTACAACAAAATTGAGTGGAAAGTACAGAGAGTTTCTGTATACCTCTCGCCCCCACAGATGCACAGCCTCCTTAGCTACCAGCGTCCCTACCAGAGTGGTACATTTGTTATAATTTATAAACTTATAATATCGACATATCATTAGCACCCAAAGTCCATAGTTTACAGTAGGGTTCACTCTTGGTGTTGTAAATCTCTTTTTAACCTGGTCTTGCAGTGTTATTGAGTATTTGTCAAGGGATCAAGGTCTGCTCAGGGCCACCAGTGACTGCACCTAGAACCTGAATAAATATTTGATTAATAAATGAATTATTACAAGTTCTTGATAGAATGCATGCAAATTATTTTTCTTTATTCTCTTCAAGATGTATAGATTCTTAAGCAAAATCCAAAATTGATTTTGATATCAATTAATAATGATAGAGGAAATCTCTGTCATTTTTGAGTAATCTACTTGAATCGTCATTGCCATAGGGGGTAATGATTGTGATTATTTTTGTTCTTGCAGAGAGATGAAGAATAATTTATCCTTAAATTAGTACTCCTGCTTGTGAATAAATAAAGTGCAAATATATTAATTTAATAAAGTTTTGGATTATTTGATAGGATTGGTTACTTGTATTATACAGTATTTTTTACATATTTTTCCCGTCTTTCACAGTTCTTTTAGTCTTACATGGGGTTAGATAGATTTAAGGCTAAATCCATCACTCAAATTTAATAAGTAGTATCTTATAAATATATTCATGTCTTTGGAGCCTGTAGTTCTATTTTTTACAATTCATTTTAAGGAGATAATCCAAAAGAAGGGGAAAAATAAGTGCTCAATTATATCCTTTGTGATATTTTTTAAAAAAATATTAATCTAAATTTTTTTCTTTTCTTTTTTTTTTTTTTAACTGAGCAGTGTTGTAAAGACTCTGATTATGAGTGGTAGAGTGACTAATTCCTTTTTGGAAAGGAAGCTTATATAGGGGAGGAAATGGTATTTAAGAGGCAGAACAGCTATTGCTTGCCCAGACCTTGAAGGTGCTAACATTGGTAGCTGGTTTTCTCTGGCTTTTTGAAGATGTAGATATGGAGGGGCCCTTTGTTGAAACTGAGTATCATCAGCCTGAGGTTTGGGGCTAGTGCTAGTCTCAGAGTAAAAGGAAGATAGGTCAAACTTGAAGAAGAGCTGCCAGGTGGCAGCAGGTACTTCTCATTCAAGGAATAGCCATCCCACACCTGGGAACCCCAGATGAATGACAGTCAGCAAATTTATTGAGTTCCTATTATGTATCAGGCCTTGATCTAGGAACAGAGATATATCAATGGAAAAAAAAATTCCTGTTCTCACGTGATAACGGGTTTGGAGGACAATGAATGGTGGCTGCCTGATGTTGAGTCTTCCCATTTACACTCCTCCAAAAGTCGGGAAGAGCAAATAAAAACACACAAGACCCACACCTTCAAGAGCTTTAGGAGACAGCAGCAAGCCTATAATTGCACAGAGGAAGCTTATGAAGCAAAAAAGAAACAAGACACTCCAAACCCTCTTCCTCCAGTGAACACCAGCTATAAAACTACAGGGAGTTTTATATTTTCCAAAGGAAAATTTTTATAATGAATATTTTGTAAATAAAGGTACATTTAGCTACAATTTCTCATTTTCCGTATATATGGTGACTTTTGGGACACCCTGTACATAGAAGAGGGCAAAACTGACAGAAGATAGGACTCTCAAACTAGGAACCCATTTTGTTAAATGAATAGGAACAGAACAAAGTAGCCCACATCTAAAAAAAAAAAAAAACTGTTCTAAAAATATGAATCAATGCCTTTTAGCTGATAAAAAACTCTTGAAAAAATCAGCCATGTAATTAAAGATAACTGTATACAACACTGAAATATGAATTAAATATTGTCATTCAGGCTTTGGGTATATGAAACAAACAAACAAATAAAAACCCACCCTGAATTGGAAATACAAAAAGTAAGAAGATAAATGGACAAAAACCAAAATAAATTAAATTGAGAGTTAATTGAACTTCTGGAAAATATAGAAGAAAGTATAAAATCAAATCAGAAATGAAGACTGAATTGCAAGATGCCCAAATACAAAACAGATTCAAATGACAGATGCCTCAGTATATTAATATTTACACTAAATGTAAATGGCCTAAAGCACATCACTGAAAAATTAGAGATTGGCAGAACAAGTTTAAAAAACATATAACCCAGTATATATGCTACCTACAAGAAATTTAGTTCCGCTATAGTAATATTGATAGGATAAAAGAAAAAGTATCGGAAAAGATACACCAGGTAAACACTAATCAAGAGAAAGGTGGGTAACTATACTACTATCAAACATACAAGACTTTAGAGCAAAGAAAATTACCAGGGACAAAGAGGGACATTATATTTGATAAAGGGGTCAGTTCACAAAGAAGACATAGCAATCCTAAATGTGCATGCAGTAAATAACATAGCTTCAAAATACAAAAAAAAAGCAAAAAACAGACAGAACTCAAGTGAGAAATTGAAAAATCCACAGATACAATTGGGGATGTAAGCACCCTATTGAGAAACAATAATTGATAGAATCACTATTCAGAAAATCAGTAAAGATACAGAAAAATTCAATAATACTATCAAACAATAGGATCTAATTGATATTTATAGAACTCTCCACGCAGTATCAGCAGAACACGTATTCTGTACATATTGAACATATACCAACATAAACCATATTCTTGTTAATAAAATAAACTTTAAAGATTTAAAATAATTGTAGTCACATCAAATATATTCTCTGACCATAATGGAACCTAAGTAGGTTAGGTTAATAACAGATGACAGTTGAAATATTTGAGGGGAGTTTTAGCTAAATGACAACGTTGGTTTTCTACTCTTGATTCTGAATTGTTATTGGCTGGGAACATAGGAAAATAGATATATTTCATCTGATAATGTGTCAAAATGATAATTATACATATTAGTTGATTGTTAAATGTTAAATGATAAATTGTCTCTCTGTCCACTTTATTTTACAGCTTCTCTGTTAAAAGGACTAAAACATGCTAACATAGTGCTACTTCATGACATCATTCATACCAAGGAGACGTTGACACTTGTGTTTGAATATGTGGTAAGTAAAATAAGACCTTTAAATTCAGACTTTTAAAATATGAATGAAATTCTTTTAATGTTATCATAGATAACTATAGCTATCGTACTTTTGTTTTTAGATTGCTATCCTGAAGTGGATATTATATCTGAATATATGAGACTTGTAATTTTGCACAAAATAGTGGCCCTATAAGTGATTTTTGACTGATATGTATCTTAAAAGAAAAATTCAGGAAAATGTTAAGTTGAATTTTCATCAGATATGTTATCTATTTATAACCTATTTGTTACTAGAATGCACTGTAATTTTTATGTTTATCAAATAGGATTAAATGGCATCATGGTGATCACTATCAAAGGAAGTTCATGCACAATAAAAGTATTTTCTCTTTGGACTTGTAACTTGGTTTCTCAAAAGCATCCTTATTAGGATGCTTTTTTTGTGGAAGAAAGCCTGATACTTACAATTTAGACTTCAAAGTTTTTCTCCTCAGTTGGTATTTCAACTATTAATTAAAACTTCCAATTTGCATAGCACACAAGGTAATGATCTTATTGTGTTGAGAGTATTACTGCTGGAAGACTTGGACTTGAACTCATAATTAATCTTTCTCCATTTCCTTTAGAAAAACATATGGTATTTGTGTAGTGCCACTTCAGCATTTAACTGTAGAATCATGAAATGTAACCATGATAATTAGCATCCCAATTTTCACAGATGGATCTGAGAACATGTAATTTATAAGATACAAATGACATTGGTATAGACTTTTATTGAGAAGAATAGTTGTTAGTATTGTGAATGTATTAAGATCCCATTTTGTAATTGCCATACTACATTTAAAAAAATTTTGAAGTAGTTTCCATTTTTTCTTAAAAATATAAAAGAATGAATATTTGCAACGTTTTATTTCACTAATGTCTGCCTGTGTCTGTTTGTCGTTTGAAAATTGTTGTCTTGTGAAGAAGCTATTCATCTTGTCTATTTACATATAAATGATAGATACATTTGAATAATATGGTAATGTGGCTACAAGGACAGCTAGAGCTGAGCAGTTGCATATATTATATGGTACCAAGAATGGATGCAGATTCACACATCAATGCAAACATAATTTCTTTTGTTTAATCCATCATTTTGGAGTCAATAATGTATTCAGCTGATTTAGACTTGGAACTTTTGATTCATATTTTCAAGTGTGTCTAGTTCACATATTTCAATGAAATCTAGATTTTCCTTACTATACTTGACTAACTTTTATAATTTTTTTTTGTAAAAGAGATTTCAAAATGACTTATTCCCTACTCAAATTGGATAATTAAATTAAAAGGAAGAAAAATTGTTCGGGCACCAAGAACCGGTAACATTGGTAGAGAAACTAACAAAAAAATGTGAAAATATGTTTTTCAAATCTTAAATAAAAGAAATACATTTGTGAGGCTTAAATTATAGATATTGGGTTAAATGCCATTTGATGATTTTATATTTTGTGTTATTTCAAATCTTAATATAAGGAAAGAAATTTAGTGTCCTGCAGTACTTGCCAATTAAGGCTCAAACAATCACTTTTGTTGATATGAGTGAAATTTTCCCTGGTCCTAATTCTTGTGGAGACATCCCAGGTCCTCTTAAATCAACCTCGTAAGAGCATGGACATATGCAGTTTCCACAAGTAACATTTCATTCCTAAGTTTTCTGCAGAGTTTGGACATGATATAAATTGCTCTCTTCTCTTTTTGAAAATGAGGCAAGATCGTGTCATCAGTGGCTCATGACTGCCCTTCCTCTTCTTCCCTTCTCCTCTCTCCCTATATTGCCTTGCTTTCCTACTGTTTCTTTGCCTTTCTCCTTTCCTCCTCCTCCTTTTTTTTTTTTTTAATCTTTTTCTACTCTCTTCACCTTCTGTCATTTTGCTATCTAGGGTAAAACATGAAGTTTGTTTTGTTTTTGTTTAAGTAAAAGATGTTTCAGTAAATCTCTGAAATCAGCATTTGAGGAAAAGAAGAGCTTCAGGCTATAGAAATTTCTTAAAAAAGTCTTCTCAGTTTGGGCAGAGAAAGTGCAGGTTTCTTGGCAGGATTAGCCTGACTATGTGGCCATTTCTCAGTATAGAAATAACTTTCCTGAATATTGCCTAAAGTTTTTATTTTTTTACACTGCCTTCTGTTTGCATGTCTTTGTAAATATGCTGATATCCCAAGAGGAATTAAGGTTCTTACATACTTTAATGGGTTAGTTTAATCAGATTGCTTTCCTCACAGTATCTAGCAGAAATAAACTCCACTCTTTTCTTGCATGTTTTACAGTAGTGGAAAGGCAATAATAATTTTGAAGAGTGAAATGTCGTGGGTATTAGAGCATACTTTAGTGAGGGGCATAGGGTAGGAAACAGGAAGGCACTGTGGGCTTGGGATTAATGAGTTGAGGGCTGCAGAAAGGGAGGTGAAAGAACTTAAAACAAAGATGACCACAATAATAAAAACCAACAACTAAAATGTATGGACTTTCATGCTGAAGGCTTTGCATTCATTGTCACTTTTGGTGTTCTCAGCAGCCATGCGGAAATATGAATATCACCACTTTACAGGAGAGAAGCCTAACGATTAGAGAAATTAAGTGACTTTTCCAGGGTCTTGTGGTTTGTAAGATAAACCAAGCCCCATCTTGCTCTGAATCCTAATTGTACTATATATCCCCTGTTTATTTTTACAATTTTCCTTTGACTGAGCCTTTGGTCAGAAGAGGAAAAGGAAACTACTTTCCTTTCTTTCCATAACCCTTCTTTATTCTACACTTAAGATCCTGAGTGCAGTTAAATCCTAAATACAGTTAAATTGCTTTATAGTTTAAATAAGTTTTGTAGACAGATTGTAACCTAATCATTTAAACTTTCATTTCAATTATGAAACGTGTTTTAAGTTTCCATAAAACAAACTTATAAGTTACAATATTGTCCCATATATTCCACCAGATTCTATTTAAACACACATGTACACACACATGCAAGTGTATAGCTTTGTTATTTGGCAAGTTCTAAAATCAGTGTCAAACAATTTAACCACAAATTTTTTAAACTTAATGTTGTCATATTTCAGAATTGTGAACATGAAAGTCATTTTCTAAACAATGTTGATTTTGTAGTTCCATGTAATTCATAGTACCCTTTTTTCACGGAGGTGACATCGTAAGTTAAATAGTGTAGGAAAAATCAATACCCTATGCTCATTAAAACTCTAGATATGTAGGGAAAGTAAGATAATTGAAGATCAATATTGTTTTGACTTTACAATTAATTAAGTTTTCATTCTTTCCGAACTCTTCTCTTGGAAAAGCCAAAAAAAAAAAAGAAGAGTAAAAAAAAAGTTTTCAAGGGCTTTTTGAAGTACCTATATAATTTGCGTTTTACCAAGTGATGGATTCTTATTTATGGTAATATATGTACAGTACAAATATATATTTGTTTCTTGCTTTGAAAGAGAATGCTAAGCCTAGCTCCTTTATATTATTCCCATAAATGACATTTTAGGTTTTATAAAAGTTTTCTGAAGGCCAGAAGAATGAAATAAGTGATGAAAATTTAGTGATGTGAAAGAATGCCAAGGAAATTATTTTGGAGGTCATTATCAAAGTGATTCAGTGGATAATAGGATATTGTTAGTGTAGCCGTTCTCTTAAGTACTATGAAAAGCTCCTAAAATGTTCTGAAATTTAGATTCTTACACACTTACAAAATATAATATTTAGATAAAATAATCTGGAAGCTGCACGATTGAGAACATATTAGGGCTGCTCATGTTTCAAGCACGGGGACCCCAGCTTGGCATGCTAATTTAAATACTTCCTCCAATAGTTGAGAAGGAACATCTTTAACCAAGGAGTGGCTCAGTTAGCTTGAAAAGGAATCTGGTTTCATAATGGTCTAAAATACTGTTAAAGCTATCTTTTTCCTGCTTAGGTTTAGGACTTTTGGAAGAGAAATATAGAAAATAGTTAAGAATCATCGACTCCAGATTATATTTAGTTGTGAAAGCGCTAACAAAATTTTTTTCTACTTAAATAGTTAAGCAGTTTAGTTTTTATATATTTTTTTGTGTGTAAAAGAGCATATAAGTGCCACATTATTATTTAACACCATGCTGAAACATTTAAAACAGATTTCATAGGTGGAAATAAAAATACTAGTACTAAACATGATTATGTAAATATATATTGTCCTTAACTGCATAACTATTCTGTTTTATTTTAAATTATATAAGAACAAAGCATATGTGCAACATTACTCCATTACATATTTAATAATTACATATAACTACTAGAGATCTGCTGTACAATATAGTGCCTATGGCTAACAGTACGCCATCGTGCACTTCAAATTTTCTTTGGAGAAAATTTGTTTTTTATGATATGTTTTTTCCACCAAAACTAGAAAAGCAAAGCAACACAAGGAAACTTGTGGAGACGATGGATGTGTTTATTACCTTGATTGCCTTGATTGTGGTGATGGTATTACGGGTGTATGCATCTGTCCAAACTCATCAAATTGTATACATTAAATATATGCAGTCATTTGTATACCAATTATACCTCAGTAAAGCTGTAAAAAAAAGAAAAAAAAAAGCAACAAACTCAAAGCTAATCATGATATTGTTAGGAGCAATCATTTTTCCCCTTCTACTATGCTGTAAACTAGTGAAATGTTCTAGACTAATGTATAAAATTACATAAAACAAAAATGTTGTATTTCACATTCAAAAACTGTGTTAGCAAAAATCCTCAATCCCACGAGATGTTTTTTTATCATGGTGCACATTCTACAAAGCACTCTCACGATGTCATTCCATCACATGCTACCTTTAGCCCTCTGAGGTAGGTAGGGCGTGTAATGTTATCCAGTATTTATGAGGAAAAATAATGCTTGGAGAGTTTAAGTCAGATTTACCAAAATCACTCAGCTAAGCTGAAAGGGTAAACATAAGTCTTCTGTGCCTAAAGAATTATCCCATTTTATCCTGGAACAT